ACTTAGTATCTCGGAATTCCGACTCATTATCTCGGAATTATGTAATTCCGACTTATTAAGTCGGAATTCCGACTTAGTATCTCGGAATTATGTAATTCCGACTTATTATGTCGGAATTACGACTTAGTATCTCGGAATTATATAATTCCGACTTTTTATGTCGGAATTCCGACTTATTATCTCGGAATCAGGACATTGCGGTGTTGTGACCGTATAGTTAAGTGTTACATACCTATGTATGTACCTATACTGCAAGGACGACTCCCAACTAGCTAATTGTGAATAATCCATATACCTAATACATTTATTAATGATAATCAGAAGTAACAGCACTCGCCGATTTTTGTGCAATTGAAAATATATTCGTATATATTATACTTTTTATATTCATCGCCTTCCCCCCCCCCTAACCGATACCCTGGATCCGCCACTGTTTTTGAAGATCAATGTTCGCTATAGAAAAACGTTTTAGCGACAACAATCATCGCATATCCTCTTCAAAGACAATTCATAATCGAATGACGGCCGCTGGTAACAGTTCCATTCTCCATAGAAAACCGTAGCTATACGGAGCTGTTTCTGTTTCCAAGATTATAAGTATAGCCCGAATAAGCACGAATTCATTACTTCCCGAAATTAACCACAGTGCCCTAAAGATCCTAGATAGCACAATGTCATCCACCGAATATTCTCCGAGAATATTTGAATAGTCTCAGAATATTCTCACATTATGATACAAATATTTTAGGAACGTTCTATGAACATTCGGACTGAACTTTACAAACTTGAAACGTTTTTCAGTGCGCTACGATTGCTACGAACCATAGTGATGAATGATATGAATAGCAAGATGTCAACACTATTAGTAGGATAATCAGTATTGAGATATCATATTTTGATACGATCATTCCTGCATATTTTCAGAATATCCATGGAGAAAATTCTGAGAATATGTCAAATTGAATGTTCATAGAAGATTCAAAAAGAATATGACAAATTGAACGGTCATAGAATATTCTTTGCAGGATGGGAATTTTCTTTCAACATTCCGACAACATTCTATCAGTATATTCTGATATAAGTATATCCGAACGTTGTCAGAATATTCATAGAATATTCTGTGCTGTTTGGGATGCGATGCAACAAGTAATCCGTGAACTGATGGGGATTATTCTACCTGTATAAATGCGTTCTCTTCTAGAATTCCAATTTCTTCCCAGGAAACTAAGAACGTACGACGAAGGCAGGTCAACGCATTCAATGAAGATCTTGCGGAAATTACAACATATACTTACCTATATAATTTTATTGAATTCGACGCCACCAAAAATATCGATCCTGTATTTTTCTTAGAAAGGCAAAATTCAGTATGCGTGATATAACAATATCTGGTACCACCATCCCCACCAAGACCACTATATACAGGGCTATTCAAATTCGAGTCTATATGCATGAAGATTTCGATAACGGTAAGAGATAGAGAGATGGTTAAATGGGGACAAAGTTGCGTATTTCAGAGGTCAATTATATGGATTAAAAAAATCTAATCTAGCTTCTTAAGTTATGGAGTTATACAGGAGAAATCGACAATTTCGAAGTTCTTCTTTCCCTATATCTTTTTATTTTACGAAGATCGTTCAAATTTCCCCATTCTGCCAAACCTCTGTAACCTCTCCAAATATCTGGATAAAATGTATATACAGGGTATCGTATAAATTGGGCCACCCTCATCTTCTAATTTTCAAATACGGACCTGTATTTTTTATTGCATTTGCATTTGCATTTTATTATTGCATATGGATTATTCGCACAATTAGCTATTCGGGAGTCGTCCTTACAGTATAGGTACATACATAGGTATGTAATACTCAACTATATGGTCACGACACCGCAATGTCCTAATTCCGAGATAATAAATCGGAATTCCGACATAATAAGTCGAAATTATATAATTCCGAGATACAAAGTCGGAATTCCGACATAATAAGTCTGAATTACATAATTCCGAGATACTTAGTCGGAATTCTGACATAATAAGTCGGAATTATATAATTCCGAGATACTAAGTCGGAATTCCGAGATACTAAGTCGGAATTATAAAAAATAATTGCGGTGGCCCCTCTACGCCTTCGTACATTGATATTCCTGAGATACAAAATGATATGATCGAAGACAAAATAAGATATCTGTGATGACATTAATTATATTATATATTATCGGGATTTCATCGCGTTTGATTTTTCGAAATTCAAACACATTGCCTTTTTTTGAACCTTAACGGTTTTTCTAGTCGTCTCTTTTGTAATTTTCGAATAAACAAATCGGACAGTTCTCTTCGATTTTTCAGGTAATGATTTTCTGTTGCAGCTGCTGCTGCATTAGGAATTTCGTCGGGCACAATTCCAAACCCGATTCCACTGCTGCTTTTAATAATTTATTGCACTATTCGCGACAGAAACTATGTGGAAAAAAGTCAACTATCAATCTATAGTTATGGTCAACTGTTTAACTGGATTTTCATACTATTATTTGGTTTCCTAAGTACCAGGACATGTCGAAGAATACATATTTCAGATTGAATTCTGTATGGTCTTTGGTCAGGTAGAATGAGAATCGATACACATAATTACAGAATCATCAAGGTGACCATCAGTAGTTTGAGTAAAACGAAATTAATATGTTGGAGTAAAAGACTGAGGAATAATAGATTTATTTCCTAATGTACCTACCCATTCCGAATTTATTTAGGTTTTTTATAACTTCATCATGTTCTTCACCTTTTCTACGTCCTTGTTTATTTCGCGCAATAGTTATCTCTAAACTGCCTGAAGTGGAGATGAATTCAACGTCCAGATGTATTCTTTTCTTTCGGACCATAAAATTTGTCATTGCGGAAAATTCACGAGATTGTCCAAAGTGGGCTCGATGCGTTTGTACTTTGTGTCAGGAGATAATTAGTTTTTTCGTCCATCGAACATCTTATATTTCCTAGAAACCTCTTCTTTGGATAATTGGAAAAATTAAAAAAAAATCAAATAACCCAAATGAATCTAAATTCCAAAAAGGGAAAACACATATGAATATGTCTCATCATCACTTGTGCCTGTTTCGATTCATTTGATTCGCAGTTCATGTTCTGAAAATTTTAATATACAGGGTGATTCAGGTTTTAAGGTTCAAACTGAAGTGGGTGATAAAGATCTTATTAATTTTTATCAAAAAACTGTGTATGAATATGTCTGATCTCGATCAGTAGCGGAGATAAAGGGAGTCAAAGTTTAATCATTTTTTTCTATTAATTGAAATGTCTCATTCACTTCTGAATACATCAATTTGGTGTGATCAGTATTCCCTAGAAAATCATGATATGAAACATTCCAGAAATTCTCAAAATCCCTAGGTTGACACGTTTTTGAGAATAATAGAGGCTTCTTTATTCCTCCCACACGAATCGTCATTGGAGGCGAAAAATTCGTGTTACCCCACTGGTTGAACCGCATCCAGTTTCATCTATACTCCTCATTCATCATATTTTTCGATATCATTGAGAAAATTTAAAAATAAAATAGCATTTAACTTGTCAGTCACAATGTGATTATTCCTTTCGCGTATTTCATTATCGTAAGAATAAAATTCAAAATACAAATATTGATAAAATTAACTTGATCTACAACGGATATGCTCATTTATCTCGAGAGCTGTTGGTTTCTCAAATAATATTGAGTTGCAAAACAAGCCTCTGAATTGAACGATTCACCCAATTTAGTAGCTGGAAAATTTCAGCCAATTCGACCAAGAGCCAATTCCCCATGTTTCCGTGAGGGGTCCTTTCCATAGCCCCATCCACAGCTTTGCAGATGATAGTACCCTCCACATACTGCGTTCTCTTCCAGAATACCCATTTCTTCCCAGGAAACGAAGAACTCACGGCGCAGGCAGGTCAATGCTGTCAATGAAGACCTTGCTGAAATCACAGCCTGGGGAACCAACAACCTAGTTGAATTCAACGCCACCAAAACTCAAGCCTGTATTTTCTCTAGAAAGGCGGAACTCAGTATGCCCGATATTGTAATGTCTGACACCATCATCCCCACCAAGCTCACCATATCTATGCTCGGTATTTCCATCAGCAACACTCTTTCATCGGATAATCATGTCAGATCCATCGCAAAAGCTGCTTCACAAAAACTCGGATTCTTGTTCCGTGCGGAAAGCTACTTTACACCTCAACAGCTTCTCATTATATACAAAGCGCAGAAACGGCCTGTTCTAGAATACTGTTCCCACATATGGAGTTCAGCACCAAAACATACGCTGATGCTCTTAGATTCTATCCAGAGAAGAGCCATTCGCCTGGTGGGTGACGCCACACTCACTCACTCTTCGACATCATTGGAACACCGTAGGAAGGTCGCCGACCTTTCACTTTTCTATCGATACTTCCACGGAAAATGTTCTAAAGAAATCTCTGCTATCATCCCTTCACTAGCAATACCAGTCAGACGAACTAGACAAGCCCAGTCAGCACATCCTTCCGTTGTCAACCTCGAAATATGTCGAACAGCACTTTATCAAAACTCCTTCATCCATAGAACGGCTAGGCTCTGGAATTCATTGCCTGAGGAAGTATTCCCAACAACATATATTCTCCAGAAGTTCAAAAAAAATTCCAATACCTACCTCCTGTCCCTATCCTCCCTAGGAACGCACGATGTTCTTTGAACATTATAGGAATTTCCTTTCGTGCGCTTCAAGCGATAAAAATAATATGCTCAAAAGGTGTTACTTCGCAATATCGAAACTTCTTTCCTTGTCACTAGTTGTCACACTAATTGAGCAAATGACAACTACTACTCTACTCGAATTACACTCGAACTGAAGTGAAGGTTATAATATATGAGGCTTAAACCATATGAAATACCTCTTTACGAATAATTCGTCAATTCATTTCTATGGCTCATTTCGTTGATATTATCACCTACTTTATGATTATTTCTTACCGGTACTAAAAATCTTCTGACTTCTGCTAAGGCATACGCAATCCTAGCATGTGCCTCAGCTGGTGTGGCAAAAGCACTTATTTCCACATGTAGTTCTTCACTCAGATGCTGGAATTTCGGATCACCACTGGCCCTGAGTTCTTCCTCCTGAAAATGTTTTCACTATTATTTATTACTCTTTGACAGTAAATATACAACACCTAAAAAAAGAGGCATTGTTGCGGAGTCAATCAAGATTCGATCATGATCGAATTGAAATATTTGGGCATTGGAAAATGTATTCGAATTGGCACTGAAAAAAATGCGGTTTCCACTTGGATAAGCAGAAATTTCTCCAATCTGCTCATTTGACTCGTAGATATGCTCACCCTGTTTATGTATAATATTAGACAGAATAGGGAAATGGGAGCGTGAATATCACAGAAATTATAAGTTCAACATGAAAAAAACTAATATATTTTATAAAATATATACAAGGTCTTTCGGAATTCGACCAACAACGCTTGACAGGTGATTGTCTTCGTGATTTTCCAATTACTGTGATGGGGACGTACGGTCTTCAAGTGTTTAGTTCTCGAGATACAGGGAGTTGAAGTTGAGGAATAAAAATAGTTTTCTTACAATAACTCAAGATCGATTGAATATTTCCCATCGAATTCAGTGTATGGTTTCATCTTCGAATGGGTCATTTTTTGACCATAAATTCATTTTGTACTCATTCAGTGATGCGCTACAGGTGGTTGTGGTTACTTTTTCTCCCATATTATCTACGCCACTGATGCAATTTCGTTGACTTCCAATTCCTTGAATTCATTGTTCGATTTCGTCGATGATTTCGTTGAAGAAATGCATCACCCTCAACTGAGCGGAAATTAACAGTTTACGAGATATTTGACCCAAAATAGAGGTTTGCATAGTGATTTTTCATCATTTTCGGTCGTATAAAATTACAGAAAACTTTTTTCTCTACATGAAATAACTTTCTCTGTTCAGTTATCAGAGGATGATATCTCGAAAGTATCAAATCTACTCACAGCCAGAAAAATATTTTCATAATTTTCTACTACTGAAAATGATGAAATAGTATATTGTTTGATGAACACGGAATGATAGTGATTTCCCTACGGCTCATGCTGCATTCATTAGAGTGGAAAATGAGCATTTCGTGCGAGTTATACACCATAATTTTTCTACGGCTCTAACAAATAGCAGCCACATTCTTGATTTCTTCGTCTTGAAGTCATCTGATTTCATCTCAAGTAATGCTCATCTATTACACAGAGCTGTCATCGCTTGAAATTTGACATTTCTTGGGAGATGAGATTATTGTGAAATAATAACACAATGGAGTAATTGTGATATCAAATAAGGAATTGAAATTGATGACAAACAAAGTACCTCATTGATGTATCGAACACAGTAAATCAAGAGCAATTTTGTGTTATAGCCGTGGAAAAAATCACTATCCAAACTTCTATTCTGGGTCAAATATGTCGAAAACTGTTCATTTCAGCTCAGTTGAAGGTGATGCACCACCAGATGAAATGTCCGGGATGAATTTCTGGTCAAGAAATGACCCATGCGAGGATGAAACCATACACTGAATCTGAATGCAAAATATTCAATCATTCTTGAGTTATTGAGGAAGAACTATTTTCATTTCTCAACTTCTCGGTAACTGAACACTTGATGATCGTTTGTCCGTATCTCAGTAATTCAGAAATATCGAGGGCTATCACCTGTCAGGCTTCATCAGTCGAATTTCGAAACACCCTGTATATATTATCTGATCTCTTGTGTGAGAAAGAATTCGAATAGAATGTTATTTTGACTGTATAAACAATGCTTGAGAGAGAAACAATATACCGATGGAATTCAAGAAATACACAAGTTTGATATTTTCATTAGTGGAAAATGTCTAATTCAAATTCAGATTTTCCAAGTGGTATCGAGGAAGCAACACGAAATGCACTATTATCTTCGTCCATTCATATTTTCATTTCGTAACTGATGGTGTTCAAATGAACATTTCATCACAAGTTATGTGTGTCAATACGGTTAAGGCGAAAATCGTCCTGATTGGTTCAAATGTCCGACTATGGACCGATCCGAGAGGATCTGAATTCGTAGGATTGTTGGTAATATGATATAGAGCAGCAGGAAATCTGACTTGCACGGATCGTCAACATCAAAAGGGGTTGTTACGATTATGCTCTCAGGCCCTATTACAATGTTGTTGTGGAGAGTCATTCATGCAGTTGTATATCAAATGACGTGGCTGATAAACTTGTCAGGATATGTACAATATACAGAGGCTGTCTCATTTTTGATGTACGGGATATCTCATTAAATTTATTTTCAAAGATAGATATTTGCGTTTTCCGCGAACGTTAGCTACTTTTTAGTAAAAATCACGATATTGCAAACCAAATTATCATAGCACCTTCTAAAGATACAGGGCAATTGCAAATGTTGCCTTTTGGGATCCACCCTGTATCTCATCAACTCGCAATTGTAAAATTTCAATCACCTAGATACAATATGTCTCCTGTCTGAGTTACAGGGTATTTTATTAAAAAAATTTAAAATGTTTTTTGCCCAGTTCTTCAAAACCATTTGACGTATCACTTCCATATTTGGAGGGAAGTGTAGGTATTATACACTCAACTGAATTATGTGAAATGAACTTTCCTAGCTATTACCAGAGGCGTACGACAGGGGCAATCAACTGGTTGATCCCCCAAATTCTACGCCACTGGCGGATTTGAAATTCTATCACAAATTTTCGATTCTCCAACAATTTTGACGTAGATATTGTACTCTTTCTCCATGGCGATAGAGTCATTATTTTTCGAGATATTTTAAGTTAAACATAAATCTGCACGATCATTTTGATTTCAATGTGCATTATTTTTGTCAATATTTTGGATCAATGGGTTGTATTCATCGATAAAATGAAACTTCAATCCATATTAACGATAAAAACATAATTACATAACAGACAGGAGCTGTTACATCTTAAATCGAGTCATTTCTTCATTGCATTATAGTAGTAATTTATCATACAAGGGAATGAAGTAATAGATTTTAGCTCCAGGTTGTGTTGATAAAAAACCGTGAGCTAAAATCTAATATTTTTTCCGTGTATAATACAATATTTTTTTGTGACAGAAAAAAAAAACGAATCAATATTGGAAAGATATTACATTATGGTAAAATCAGAAAATTATCGATATGGAATTCGAAGTTTATAAAAGGCATCTTGTTGCAGGCATGTATCATTCTTTTGAAGCAATCGAATGTCTGTCAGTTTAATTCTGAGATTAGATCTTGAAAAATTGCGAAAAGTCGAAAGGACTATGGAAGGACTTTTCTCGGAGACGGTGTTATTGGCTTATTTCTCGGAACTCTAGCACAACAGAAGCTATCAACAGTAGTGTATATATGTACAGTATGATGCAAATGTATGGAATGAATTCATCTCGAAACAAGACGACTTCTGAAAAACATCCAAAAACTAGACTTCAAAACTTTATTGATTGATGTATTTTTTTAAATAGACGACCCTTCGTTGTTCAATTCTCAGTAGCAGACCTCTGCATTTCAATTTCAATTTTCTTACGCAAAATTTTGACTGTTGAATAGACGATCAGTAGACCTTTCAAACGAGGTGTCACATGACCCCTGTTTTCATTTGAAAAAATCGTTCATTACGTCATTACTCCAACACCGGTGACGTAACATCTCTCATATGGATATCATGAGATGAGGCTTCAAAAATGAAACCTCACGTGTTTTCGGAATTTTTTCAAATGTCGCTCATTTCTGAAATAATGAATTCCATACATTTGCATCATACTGTATTTATATAAGTGAGATATATCCAGGAAAAGAGTACTTACTCTTTTCCCATGGAAAAAAAGTAATTTATGATAAGTGACATCTTATAACCTGTCAACAGAGATGAAATATCAAACGTTTTTCCCGTCACAGAAAAAAAACTGTATTATTTCAGTTATGCATCCTGCTTCCAGAGTAATTTTTTTTTCCAATGAACCTACGATATTCTCTTCCCAATTCTTTATTCGGATCGACAATAGTACAACAAACTGAAAAAAAGTTGAATTAGAAATGAGGCGAAAAATGCATGAGTGAAATATCACCATTTCAATCTGAAACCCTCGAGAAATATTGTTGTTTCCCATCCACAATTAAATCTATAATTTATTCTTCACCGGTGCCAATTCAACAGAGATCGATCTCTGGTAAGCTTTCGAATCGGTACTTTTGACAGGGAGTAATCTGTTCCCAAAACAACAAATGAGCACAGATCGATCGAAGCCAGAAATGCCAGAATACAGAGAATTTGTATGCTTCCTGGTACCTGGAGGCTGTAAATCAAATTTCCAGCAACTTTCTTCAGCTCAATCGACAGCTTATACAGAATATGCTGTTCCATAAATCAGTGTTGCCAAATGACGGCACGGACCGATTTTCCTCATATGGATAACCATAGACGTAGAAAATCCAAATGACTATATATATATATATAAGGTCTATATTTACAATTCATTTTGTTCATAGACAAAAACCAAAAGTCATCTCCACAACTTTTATCAGAATGAACAAAGTTGTGTAGATGACTTTCGTTTTTCATCTATGATGTACCACTCTACTTTGAGTTATCATGGAATTCTTACAAAGATTAATTCCTTTGTCCTCTCCGCTTTGATTATGATCTTTCAATTCACCATTAGAGAGATGTGGAATATGTGATAGTGAAATGAATACATTTTGAGACCAATCCGTACCAATAATCCAATTTGTTGTCAACAGATTTAGGAGGATTCGTTAGGAGTTCTAAGTTGAATTGAACCAAGTCTATGTTTGGTAGATTCCAGATATAAAGATTTGCTCGACAGTAAATAATTCCTTTATCATTCATCCTAATTTTTTGTTTATGGGACTTTCAGACCAATCGTAACCAAATGTTGGCACAAACATTATTGACTCAAAAAAAATATCTCTGTCATAGATGGAAAACCCTAAATCATCTCTTATCAATCAACTCTTATTGAAATGTTCAAAGATTATTAAATGTACATGTCTTGGGCTCATATAAGGCCATCATCGGCCGATAATCAGTTCTAGAAAAAACTTAGGATATATATGCAATGATTGCTTACTCACATGGAAGTGAAAAGAGTTAAAATTCAAATGAAGTAGACAATAACAAAGCCTTTGTCTGCTCTGATAAAATTCCTGGAGATTTTGGGTTTTGTATCTATGAACTGCAGCTTTCTCTTCTATATCATATTGAACTCAGAGTTCACCTTTCTAGTGAAAAGTCTATGGATATTTTGTTTCATGAAATTGTTCTATACGTCATTCTTATAGTTATTAATGTATCAAAGGAGTGAAGTAGGCTTTTATGGGCCGCAGCGTGTCCTGCGGACTCGTGCTGTTCTTTCGATCAATTCAGTTTCCTTCAGAAATCAATCGACAAACTAACTCTCAATATGAACAATGGGCGTGTACACCTTAGTAGAACTTTTAACTCAAACCATGCTTATAATGATCCTGTTATACATAAATAATGATTGACGCCATCATTCGATCGAAAAATTTACTGGACTGTTATATTTCTGGACATAAATAATAGTACCTTCTGGAAACGGACCCTAAAGAAAATACCAAACGCTCGACGGAGACTGAGGCAACTGATATATTTATTCTTTCAACTGTGATCTCGCGCTAATTCACTCTGTCAGAAATCATGTTTCATTCATCTCTGTCTGGAATAGTCTTGTTTCAGTATTAGGGTTTTGACGTCACATCATCGCCTCGTTTTCAGAGGTCCGAAAAATCAGGGATTTCAATATTTTTTTTATAAAAAGTAGGGAGCTCACAGCAAGAAACGGTTTGCGGTGCTGAGCTAGTTTGGGTGAGTTCTATCGAAATATGAAATAATTTTTTTTTGTGATATAAGCCCATTGAATGCCTCTCTGTTCGTTGGATGATCGAGTCTTTGGAAGAGATGTTCTTCAGGTCTCCAAAGTGACGACGAAAATATGTCATGTCAAAAATTTAGCAAGATTCTCCCATGCCGAGGATATTAAATTTTTGGCAGTATACTCAAGAAGTTTCCCGATTGTTGCTAATATTTCGTTACATAACTTTCGTACGCCCATGTGAACAGCGATTATTTAGAATTCGACACGAGTTCATCCTGCTATTCAGTTCCCCTACCCCTCCGGTGATATACGAGGTGCTATTTGTGTCAATTAAGTCTTACTTTGGTAGGATATCACGAGCAAAGTAACCGGTTATTATGCTCGTGTAGTGAATCTCAATTGATTTCGGAAAACTTTTCCATTATTTAAGATGAAAACTGAAGAGGGGTGTTAAGAAAAGCTATGCTTGATGGAATAATGCGAAACTCATTAAGGACAGAAGGTTCTCGACATTGATCTATCATCATAACGAGACAAGAACAAGAACAACAATTAGGGACTATAGGAGACTATAGCTACAACGACAATTCTTGTTTCAGCTCTGTCGATAACAAAACAGGAATATTTTGACAAGTTAGCCCAAATCCTAATATTTTTGAGTCTAAATATGTCATGTTTTGTTGTGCAATTACTCAATGGCTACCCTGGATTTCAAACTTGAACAAATTTAGACAATTTTGTATTTTTCCGCGTTCTCTCTACCTTATAATATTTGTGCACATTCAAATTCTGCTGAAACAAAAAATAAAAAACGGTTGAGATATACAGGGTGAATCTGAAAGTGACGTTTTTCATTCAACAGTGTATACATCTCGCCAAAATAAGTTATTTGGTCAAAATTTGTTAATGTAGAAAATGTTTGATAACACTTCATTCACACAGTTTTTGAATAATTTTTCTGATTAGATATTGCAACTGTAGGGTATCTAATGCTGGACTAATATCGCATTTTTCGCGTTTTTTGAGAAAATGTAAACAAAATGTTCTATAGTTGTAGTAGTCTTCTTCAAACCTTTGAATACCTGTACCTCCGTTACCTTGAATATTTCAATCATTTTGATTAGATATAAATCTTGTTTGAAAATAAACCTCACTTTCAGATTCACCCTGTATTATCACACTCGCATCAGCTGGACATCTCTGTTATGTTGAAAAATGGGTAAAAGTGCATTTATTATGTGATGGTTTTTTTTTTCGAAAATTTCTTTTGGTACTCACGTATTTTTGTCTGAAAAACACGAAGTTGATAATGAAAATGTGAACAAACCACTAGGTATTTATCGAGATATTTGAAGTAAAAGTTCGAAATTTCGCCTTCTTTCTCCCCTTGTGTTGGGGGCATTTAAAGCTACTTGCTCTTCTTATTTTGTCATTGGACACTTTATATACTCATGATGTACTTCGATGACACATTTTTATAAAGAAAATTCAACAGGAAATATGATTTTCATGGCGAGTTTTCCATATTTAGTGAACAAGCATTGCAGATGACGGCCAATCAATCAATAGTCAATCAAAATACGAGATGTCGAATGTCAATAGATTGCTTTGGAAGCCATTATTTTGAATGATATTCTCCCTTCTTTTCACTTAATAGGTATGGATGAGAATCTCAAGAAAATCATATTTATTATAGTTGAATCATTTGCTAGAAACAAATTTGTCATACATTGTGATATACAGGGTGTTTCATAATTGAATGCTGATCCTAAAGGGCGATGATCCTTGGATGATTTTAAGGAGAGAAGTTCATATCAACATATGTCCTGAACCTCTTAGTTTTTGAGCTACAGGGTGTTGAAATCAGAAGCGTACAGCGTTTTTTTAAACTAAACATTCAATATCAGGTCTACGAGGACATCACTGGTAAAAGTAAAAGTTTGATTTTCGTCCCAAAACAAAATGTGTTTCCACTTATAGTGGGTGTCTACTGAATTACCAAAAACAATATCCAAGAACTGAAGAAACAAAATTCTTTGGTTTTTATTTTTTTACGCGAAAACAGTACGTTGTATGAAAGTAAGTCTAGGAACCAAATTTGCTCCAAACTGAAAAAAAAATCTGGTTCTCAGAAAAATCAGTGGCGTACTATTTTTTCTTCAAAAATTGTCAGTTCAAACCCCGTACGGACGCCACTGGTGAAAATTTTTAAATATATTTCACGTAAAAAAATGCTCCTTGATAATGAAAAGGTGTATACAAAATATCATAACAATATCTAAGAGTGATAAAAAATTATGATGAAAAACTTATTTTTTTCTTGAAATTTCATCACCCTGTAGCTCAATAACTAAGAGGTTCAGGGCATATGTTGATATGAACTTTTCTCTTTGAAATCATCCAAGGTTTATCGCCCTTAAGGATCAGCATTCTAATTGAATAATTCACAAGAAAACACAGATTGCAAATATTTATTTTACCTTGTGCCTGTCCTTCATGGATCCTCTTCCCAGCACGGCCATTTTGCACATCGTGTCCTCTTGTAATCTCTTTAGAGAATTACCTTTAGGGCCCAGAAGTTTGCCGACAAAGTTGAACTGAAAAAGATAATCGAATTATATAGGATCTTCCCAGTGGATTTATAACTTTTATGGTCAGTAGGTAAACTAGCCAGTGTGAATGCGAGTTCCTGGTCATGTGATCACACTGAATGGTCCATAAGGAACACGTATAATCCAGTGAATAAAAACACATAGAGGGGTTCACCTTACAAACGATGTTGATGTTTTATCTAGGATGGTTACGGAGTGTTCAAAATGCAAAATGCACAATTCACCCCTTCCGTGCCCTCCGCCATATTGAAAAAACCAAAGGAAATCGGCACTTCCTCCAGATTCGTTTGGTGCACTTTGGCTACAAATGAGTTCCATTCAATGTTGTAGAGGATCAAATTTCCTATACTTATCGTTTCGAATTTCATTTCTAGGACTGATAGTTACAGAGATATGATTTTTCATGAAATAAAAAAACGCATGTTCCGGAATTTTGTCAAACTTCCAACATTAGATCGCTGTAATTCAGTTATTGCCTATTCTAGGGAAATAAGTTCCAGAGTTGCCTGCACTGGTACTGGTACTGGTGGGGGACGTTTCCACGTCAGCAACTAGTCCCCAATGGGACCTTTTTGCAAACCCCAAGTGTTTTCAATGACTGATGTGGTTCGCTCAAGAGAGCTGGCTAACATCCTTTTCAGGCACCGCCCATCAGCTCTCTTTTCAGAGTTTTTCAGCTGTGTTTTGTAGGCTAGTAATGTACTCACTACCATATGCGCAGTGGCAGGCCTGCTAACTATCATCGTTAACCCCCGAGACCGAGGTCTACTTAAGCAGCTGGCCCGCTCTCACGCTCAGCTGGTAGTTTTCCACACTCACCTACATACACCGTCTACTTCTTCTCTGATGCTCACAACCACATCATCATATCTTTCTGCGTGTTCTGTGTAGGCTTTGTTACTAACTCCATGCGCGACTTTAGGAGCAGCACTGTTAAACAGCGAATCGTGCAGGACTATCCCCAGCCGATGCTCCGAAACTTTACAATATTTAATTCGTAAATAAAATATTGAAAAAAGTTCCTTGCCCGTGCTGGAAATTGAACCCAGAACCTTGCGGTCGTGAGACGGACGCTCTTCCACTGCGCCAATCCCGGCTTAGAGTTGCCTGCAAAACACACATATATGTTTTCAACACCCTGTATAGAATGGGTAACAATATGGCTCGAACCCCAATTGATTGAACAGGCAACATAGAAATATGAAGACCCTAAGTATTTACTTCATCAATGCCCTAGAAGTCTGATGATTAGAAGTTATTGCTGGTGCAGTTACAGCGCCTCAAAATAATATAAATCCACTCGTGGGTCATATCTCACGTAATGACGTATCTTATTAAAATCGGAGTTTGAGATTCACAAGGTACTGAAAGGGGTATTGTAAGGTATTGATTGGATTGAATTAGAGATTAGATTGAATTCAATACAGCATAATATACAGCAATGATTTTAACAATAATATGATTTCATTCTAGATGATAAGAAAAAAATTTCTCTAGATTATAAAAAACATGTTGATGCAATAATTTTTTGAACTGGTTTTTGAAACGCAGATTGCTTAAAGATTTTATACTGAAAGGTAGGTGATTGTATACTTTTATTCCGGAATACAGTGGCCCATTTCTAGTCTTGTTGTATCTATATAGTTTAGCAAAATAAACTCTTGTTTTCATATTGGATATGAGTGTTTGTCTGATGGTAATGTCATTATTGATCGTTTTTTGTGTATCAGCATACTTATTTTGAATATGTGAGTATTTGTTAGAGTGAATATTTTGTGATTTTTGAAACATGTCCAGCAAGAGTCTCAAAGACTCAAACCGAATAATACCCGGATAGCTCTTTTCTGGGTCTCGAATACGTCTGTTGCATATATACATGTGCTCCAAAATTCTATGCCATACTGTAATACACTATGGAATTATGAAAAATAGAGCAGTTTTGTTGTTGCGATGTTTGTATTCCTCTTAACTGTACGTAGGGCAAAAATGTACCTGCTCAATCTAGCTTAAAGTGCAGTGATGTGATCTAGCCAGTTTTTTGTCAATTGTTATTCCCAGAAATTTGGTTGACGGCACACAATCGATAAAATTTTCATAAAGTTGTATGGTCACATCGTCAAAATCTTCATATTATTTAAATATAACGTTAAACGATTTAAAATAGTCGAGAGCCATTTTATTAGCCAGAAACCAGTCCGATACTCCCTCCATTATCTCTTCTGATGATGTCGTAAATAATTCACTATTTGTTTCTTCAACTAGTATACTTGTGTCGTCCGCAAAAAGTGTGAATGCTGCTGTGGGAAAGTTACAAACGATGTCATTTACATAAATGAGAAATAATGTGGGGCCCAGCCCTGATCCCTGTGGTACGCTTGCCAGTAATTGGGTATGTTCTGAATCTTCGTATGACACATCACCTAACATTTCATGTTTCACTCTGAATCATTTACTATAAAGCTTAGTGGTCCTCCTGGGACCAGGTATAGTGTTCAATTTCACTCTATTATTTTTTTCTGTGTGATATAAATTTTCAAAGACTAAAATAAGGTCCACACAATTTCATCATCATTTCATTATTTTAGCAGGACTCAGAAGATTTTAGAATAACCATAAACTCGGAATGAAAGTACACGATCATTTCTCTACCTGAATTATTATTATATTCCTGTTTTTACGACTGCTATCCGGCATTCAAATGGACCCTGTAATCGCAATTTATTTTCTGCATATGAATGAGCAGAATTTATTTTATGTTTTACATTTCCATTTCCCAGTTGATAGCACAATCTACTGCTTTGACAATAATAATTATAAAATACAAATAATATTACGTTACAATTTAATACATCAAAGGGGCATCTTGTTTTCATAAATTCAAAGCGAAAATGCATCAGAATGACCAGATGAGAATTCATTTTATGTTTCAAATATCCATTTTCCAGTTGATATTACAATCTACAGCTTCGAACAATTATCATAATACACTCACGAAAATCTACTTTACACCTCAACAGCTTCCCATGATCTACAAAGCACAGATACGGCTATGGGGCTCAGCATCCAAGCATATTCACAAAAAGAGAGAAACTCCAAGTCATTATACCACAAAAGTTCATAAAATGAGAAAAAACTACTACTACTTTCCTGGCTATAAGCCACGCAGAAAATTGAATTACATCCTCCCGAAATCTATATTCGTATAGACGAATAAAAGCGCAAGTGTTTTCTTCCTAAACGCCGAGCTGCACAAAAGTGGTTCAGGAAGGCATGACTACCTGCAGACCAGTTTCGAGCTGTTGGATCTCATCAGTGCAGGGCTGTCCCAGATAGCTTCTTGACCGTTATCTGGTGCGAAAATAAAACAGAAAAATGGGTTGACAGGTGTAGTACTAGAAAAATCGAATCCTGTCGAAAATGTCAGATTTCTTGATTTGTCACCAAATTGAGTTCATCAGAATGGTTTGGTGTTCAATGATCCTGTTACACTCGGTATGTATACAATAAGCTGCTTCGAAGTTTTAAGTCTTATGTCAAGAGGTGAAAGCATGTCAAAAATTAAGGAAGTACCCACGAATTTCTATTTTCCATCACGTACCAACCGTTGGACGGATTCATTCCGCTTCAAACTAAGCCATTCTAAGTTTCATAACATCGTCAGGCATCATAACCGAAAGATATTCTCGTGGAAGAGCAAAGTTTCGCGGAGCTTTTATCTCTGAATCGGAAAATAAAGCTCTCTCATTGCTGACACGGAACTTAGTTTTTCCAGAGAACTCGCAGATATTTCATAAGATCCTTGAAATAAAAGAGATTTCACTCCCGCATTTACACTCGAGTTGTTTTCCGAAGAAAAGTGAACAGTCGATTATGGGAATACAAAATGACAAATGACAGTGCGATGAAACTCACGAAAATAGAGAGCTGGAGTCCGACCAGTTTAATTTTGGGACTGCAAGACAAACGTCTCTCGCCAGTCATTCAATTAGAAGCATGCTGCCGTGCTGCGGAAAATCATAAGGTTATCAGAAAATATTATGCGGAACGAAAATATAGTTTCTGCATGATGAGGGACTACTTTTCACATAACTTGGCCTGATGGATGAACCTTTCACCTGAAAAGTTTATTATTCGAGAAATTACTCATGTGAAAACAAAAGGTTATAAGAATGGGGAAGTTAGATATCGTTTCTGCATGAAAAAAGCGACTTTTTATAACCGAACTCTTCCTAAATGATCCTTCTTCTGAGAAGTATATTTTTCGAAAAATCACTTGTGAAAAAATGGAAAAAGGAAGATGGTTCCACCAACTAGAAACATTTCTGGAGTTCAAGTTTTAAGCTGCTTCCCTGGCTCACTTGTTGGAAGTTGAAAACATTTGAGGTATATGTAAATTATAAGTTAGTATGTATTCAATTTGTTTGCATTTCAATAATGAATCGTTCAACTATATATTCTCATAATCAAGTTATTAATACCCTACTCTCATCGAATAAGAAGATTCTCATCGTTTGTGATATACCAAGTAGTATATGTTGAAGATTAAATTAATCATGATGAAATCGTAAGACCTGTATACATATAGCGAATCTGTATTGTATCAAACTTCCAAATGAAATTAATAATTTTTATCCTCCTTAGGTCTTCTGGTGGTATCTCTGAAACACTGTTACTATTTTTCCTAATCCATTTTCTTTAATTTTGCTGAAGTTTTTGTGATCACAGTTGGCCAAAAACTTGTGTTTGATAATTCGTGTCTACTCGACGAAGTACATAATTTTGAGTATGTTATGAGTGGAAAATAATCTCTGATCGCCCTATAGGAATACGAAAGAACAAGGGTGGGGTGGATCACATTGTAACACACTGTATATGGAAATAACAGAATTCCAGAATATTTCTACAAGAAAACATCATCGACTCGAGCAGTCAGAAGATGCCAAGCGATCATTCTGAATTTGGAGATTGAATTCAAATGCATGGAA